AAATAGACACTATGTAATATCCACTGTGATTCATCAGTACATTAGTAAACCCTTGATTTATTTACCAAATATTCAAGACCTCACGGTGTATTTGACAAACTCACCGGTCAAACCGACCGTAAATAGTCTAAATGTATCGTGTACGAATATGGTCGCCCAAATCCCACACGAGTAAGCATTGTGTGTGAATATTGTACATAGAAAGATTAGTAGTGCACGTTATTGGGGTCACCAACCTCGCTAACAAAAGTTAATGTCAGACAGCATACTTACTTTGTATACAATATTTAAAAAGGAAGTTTGCCTTAATTTGCATATGATGGATATTTCTTATTCCAGAATCCTATTTTGCAGCAATATACAGAACAAAATCTCATATGAAATGAAAACAAACTTAAGATACTTTTTATCTCATAACTCCGAAAGGTTATATTTTGACACGTTTTAAAGCCAAAATGTAGAGGGCTTAATCAAACGGAGACAGCCATTTTGTTGCGCCCTTCACCTACAATATATGACGTCACGTCATTGTCCATATTATGACGTCACAATCGATTTCTGACTGGTACAGCCAATGAAAAACGCTCCAGGGTATATTACACTAGTGACATATATGTAAAAATATTACACGGGCGAATTCACTGGATAACAGGCCGATTATGTGATAAATAGAGGTTACACAACGAGTGGTATTTATTTCACTCGAGTTAGTTAATTTTCAAAAGTTACAAAAGACACGAGCTTTAGCGAGTGTCTTTCTGTAACTTTTGAAAATTAACTAACTCGAGTGAAATAAATTCCATATTCAACAATCACGAGTCGTGTGATCTGTTTCTACCACAATCTCAGTTGGAAACACCTGGACTGATTTGAATAGCATACACACATTTTGTTAACAAGGCTGGCGTAGTGATATGACCCATATGTAAAAGGTCACTTATTAATATTCAAAAATGACTTTTTATTTTACAAATTTGATAATTTTTAAAATTAATGTGAAAAAATAAAATAGATGAGAGACTTTAAATATTGAGAGTATGCATTATTGCATTAATAAATAAAAATTAACCACGGACTATATGCGCGTAAGCATATCGAACGAAGTCTGCCTCCCGCCAAGTGATGATGACGCACTAATCGCTGTCAATGTCCAAAACCATAGGCCTAGCTGGGACGTTTCTTCGTGACGTTCTATGGTTGACGTTTATAGTGAGAGTTCCGCCATAAACAGGCCCTCCAAATATTGATAACTGGACATGGAGAGAACGAAATATTTTCCGACACTGTGTGTTTCACAACGACATATATCGGTATATTACGTCTCTGGGTTTCACGACCTGGACACGCGACGATATGGCGTCGAAACGATATCGAGCGTCTGTAGCAATGTTGCCTGAAACTAGCGATCAAATCTTTAAGCATCATCTTCTTTTGGTATTGCATTATAAAAACCTTTTCCCATCTCATAACCTCACAAAAGTCACCAACATTTGCCGGATGTTTACAGCAGACAACGTAAACAATACAGCACGCGGCACAAAGCGCGTGAAAAAATTCGTCCGGTCAAAGTTATCTTATCGACCAATCAAAACTACGGAAGGTCATATACCACGTGTGGTGTATCACTCATATTTATTCAACAGTCTGCATGTTCATACAATGATCTGAGAGTGGAATAACACAGCGTATTATGGCAGAAAAAGAGATAGTAAAGACATTTCAGCGCGTATTGCTCAACCGAAAGTACGTATAACTCGTAAATTTTTATAACATTTTAGACTTCGATTCCTTGATATATATCAAGGATTTGGTATTTCAGTAATTGTGTTAATTGGTATCAACCTATATTTCTGTGTTTTACGACTACATCTCAATAAGCCTACTTCAGATTAGGGGTAATATTTCGTCAGTAAAACAAATGAATATTTTTTAGGAATTGTATTGTTACCCAACAGAAAAATAGCCCTGCATTCCGTCTGCACTGCATTGGTAGAATGACGTGAAGGGAATAACAAGTGAGCGATGGTAATCCCAAAATGATTTTAAACTGTTCTGTTGAAAAGTATTTTAATGCATTTTAGTAAAAATGCCTACGCCTTCCATTATTTAGAGACAATTTCTATGTCATTGTAAGTAGTCCTGACCTTTTGACACGTCCGGTAGACATGTTTATGACTTGTTTGCAATGCATCGTAATTGATTTATTTACTTGGACAAGGTATAGAACGTAAATCACAGCAACGTTTGTAAACAAATATTACTGATGTGAAGATCACAGAGAAAACGTATTTATAAAGTAGTAATAATGAATTACAAAAAACTAAAGTGAAATTTTCATACGGTACGCAATGTTTACAGACTCCCTCACCGAGCCGGTCTAATCTGTTTTGTGGTTAAATTTATATCCAGTTTCGTTACGTAACGTATAGAAATTGCACATCAATCTGCATTTCGTATTCAAATCGTGTTTATTGGCGGTTAAGATATTTGATAGTTCCGATGATTTGATGAGAGGATCTTTTGGCAAACAAGTTGGCAATCGTGTGACTTATTATTTGATCAGTAGTCCCGATATGACCAGTGGAGCTAGGATTGTAGGATCCGACAAATCATACTGCGTCATACTTTAGCTTTAACCGAATTCTGTAAGCGGATTTACACAAAGGTAAGACGGGCAATGCGAACTCCGGGTTCAAATCATTATAGATGCTTTTTAAAGACTACTTCTTTAGAACAGCTAAGCGGCTTTATGCAAAATTGAAACGCATCAACGGTTTGATTACCAAGGAACTGGAAAAAGGGATAGGAGGGGTTTTAAATGTTTGGCAACTTCAGAATCATTCCCCGAGAGTTGAGATTCACCTTCCTCACCTCAAGGGAGTATGCTTCTTGTTCTCTTATCCAGTTCACCCCGTCAGATTCGTAATACAATGTTGACGTTACAAGCTAAATGCATTGTTTACCCGACGTCATTGTATTGTTGACATGGTACCTTATTAAATGATGTTTTGGTACGGTGTGCTATAACGAACACTTTACTAGTTTTCTATGAGATTTACTACAGTGCGCTTTAATGAACACTTCAGTTGTTTTCTATGAGATTTTCTACAGTGTGCTATAATGAACACTTATTTTTTATGAGATTTGCTACAGTGTGCTGTAATGAACACTTGACTTGTTTTCTGTGAGTTTTTCTACGGTGTGCTACAATGCAGATATAATGTTGAGACCTTGGGACTTTACTAGTTTTCTATGATCTTTACTACACTGTGCTATAACGAACACTTTACTTGTTTTCCATGAGATTTGCTACAGTGTGCTATAATGAACACTTAACTTGTTTTCTATGAGATTTGCTACAGTGTGCTATAACGAACACTTTACTTGTTTTCTATGAGATATGCCACAGTGTGCTATAATGTATAGACCATGAAACCTTACTTTTTTACGAGATTTGCTACAGTATGCTAAAATGAACACTTTATTTTCTATGAGATTTGCTACAGTGTGCTACACTACAGATATAATGTAAATACTTTGGGACATATTCTGTGAGATATGAGACTGTCTGTGTTAATGTTTCACCAGGGTCGTGTGTTAACCGGCCATTATTTCAGGTTACAGACAGGATAATATGTAATACGATATCAGGGAAGCCGTGTTTTTGTGAGATTAAATTACCTCAATGATAAAACCTTTCACAAATTACCATCCCTTTACAGTGTAATATACAGGTATAGTCTCCAATCCAAGTATGAAATGCGAGTAAACACGACCGAGGTTTTATTTGTTGTCTGCAGGTAGCTACCTCTGTCGCCGAGCATGTGAACATTTCTTTCAAGGAGAAAAGCAAAGTCTGCACATTTAAAAAGAATCTACCAATGTTTTGAATGCACTTCTAAATCGAATATACTTATTGGATCTCTCTTTCAAAATACTCCTACACTCGTCACTGTGGTTGAAGTATTATATAACCGCGCTGTTGACAGTTAGATTAATAAAAAATGACCTCACTCATCAACGCTCGATGGTCACATTCATATAACACTAGTTAAAGCGTCCCGTTGTCCGTTTATAAAGAACAGCAAGCAAATTATTTTTGCCTTTAACTCACAATCACGACTTGTGTTTTACAAAAGAAAATAACGCTCTTCTATTAGAAGACATGGATACCCACAGATATGTTCTTCTCATTTTTAAAATTCGCTCCCAAAAGCGTTTGTTTACACACGAGTCCCTTTCAAGCTGCTTATGAATGCATGTAATTAACAAAGGTAATTTGTAACAGTGATTGCCTCCATTATAGTTTACCTAACTCAACGATGACAGTTAGTTTAGATTTACTTTGTAAAGATCTATGGATAGAGTATTGACGGGTGTTTGTGTACCACGTGTAGCTGCGCGACTAGTGTGCTTGGATGTGATGTAATTAACCAATTGGTAACCCAACGTTAATTCACACCAATACATTGCCGGCCTGATTGTACTGTAGCACCAAAGGCGGGGTCGTGAGACTGTACAAATGCAATACTGCTTAAATGGCCTTTTTTTGGCGAAAATTACATTATTTTCTCACGAAATGGAATGTTTTGCAGTGAAAGTTTGTTGAATTCAGAACTAGAATTTTATAGCTAACCAATCCTAAAACCGGCTTACTGAAGCCCAACATTTCAACTATAAACAGTGTGAACATTCTGATTAAGTGTATTATACGCCTTTTGATAAAATCTCTTTCATTGATACGGTTCAGTGGAGTATTAAAATAAAGTTGTTTTTGGTAACAATCAGTGTGTGATCGGTTTCTGCACAAAAGCGGTTGCTAGTTTATCCAACACGCTATCCATAAGTGTCTTACAAGTTTTATTTATTGGTGTATGTCGTCTTACTTGTGCCTGTAATACAGGTTTAAGCGGTCAACACCTATGACGCCTAAATTCAATTTAATACGTACGCCCACACATACATACATAGCAAGTCAGCCTTTTGGTAACAAACGTTAAACTGATTAATAGCTCTGTTGAAAAAATACATCGTGTCTGTCTAACGTTTTGTTGAATGTTATGTTCCAAATTGCACCAACGTATTTGTCTGTTTAAGTGATTACAATACTCGGATTACACGATCAATAGCGGCTGGATATATCGGCGCTGATTGAACTCTAAAAATATACCTTAATGTGTATGACGGATTTTAATATTTTGCCGGTTTCAAGCCCCCTAGGTCGCGCTTTACGAGGACGTACTTATCAAGCAACGTGATGGTTTACCTGACAATTTCTACCTGTGCAAATATATGTGCAGTGTGTACGAGTGCCAGTGACATAAACATGCCAATAAGCATTATGTATCATGTGAGATAGGGCGTCCCGGATATAGGATATGTGGAGGCGAATACTGCAACATACAGCCCATGTTTACCTGTCAACGCATGCCTTACGAAATACTATCAAGTTCAGCATTCCTGGTTTTATGAGATCTTGAAATTTGGCAATTTGGAGAATTCATTTATTTCGTAGCCATGTTTGATTTCTACGAGTTTTCGGTTTTGGGGAAGGTATGGCTGTTGATCAAATCACAAAGCAACCTTCCCCTAAAGGCTGTCGTCGTTTTCATCACCTGGTTTATTTTTCGCGATACAGCACATTCTTTAATTCAGTTTGCTTTACGTAAGCAGAACACTGTTGGAGTACGTAAGCATAAGGTGAGTAAAACGTAACAGGAAGGGGATAAACTAAGCAGACGACTTTTAGCAATGTTTATATCCGTTTTCAGTAATGACAATACTGCTATTCTATCAGCAGTTAATATTTCTGTCTTTAAATAAAAATAATTCAATTGGTGATTAGAAAACAAGATAAATGTAAAGATATTACGATAGCGTTAGCTTAATGAATACATTTCTATGTAGATAAAACTACGACAAGACTTTCCGTTTAAGTCTATTTGTTTATCATTGTGTTTTTAAAAATCTTGAAATATCATGATGTTTGTGTTCTTTTCTTCTGTTTTCTTGTTGTAAGGGTAAACTTCTTCTCGTTTTGTGACATTATCACTGACAACAGAGCAGAACATGTCTAAACTTGATACTTGGTGGTTTAAAATGTACTTAAATGTACTTAAAAGTGTCTTTACTAGACAAAGTAACACAGTAACTATATCATAATTAGACAAAATCAAAGGCATTATCTAAACCAGAAATAAAATCACCCAGAAATTGCATTTATATTGGAATAGTACTAGATCAGGCAGTACATCTATACCATTTAAAACCACACGCGCAGTATCTATACTCGAAAATATCAAACATTCAATTTCAACACCGGACAAAATCACACAGGAAATATATATTGACAAAATCAAAGAGTCGTTAAGTGTTTACTAGGCCTAATCACAAAGGCACTGTAATGACACCAAACAAAATAACACAGACTATATTTGTACTAGACAAAAATCAAAGAGTCATTAAGTCTTTACTAGGCTTAATCACAAAGGCACTGTAGTGACACAAAACAAAATAACACAGACTATATTTGTACTAGACAAAAATCGAAGAGTCATTAAGTCTTTACTAGGCTTAATCACAAAGGCACTGTAATGACACAAAACAAAATAACACAGACTAAATATTACGACTGTATGTAGACTATTTCTCTACTGGACAAAATCCCACAGACACTACATATACAAGATAAAACCAAACGGCTACAAAATCCCACTTCCTAAACATACGACACATCGATATGCAAATGTTGACATTTCCAAAACTGCATAGTTTAGTATCTATACATAGACATGCGATACACACAGTGCACAGACTCGCTAAAACACTGCTGTGTAGGATATGGTCGCCTGGTTACGTTGTTATACGTGCCCCGGCCACTCCGCTGACCTCAGCTCTAAATTATTCTCATTATTTTCATGGATCATATATTTACCATATAGCTATTGAGTCTGTACTACTTCATTTATCATATGTAACTCTTAGTAACAATTTTCATGCTATTCTGTTGAAAATTATAGCACTTAATCTTCTATACCAGGCAGACCAGATTATTTTTTTATTGTCTGGATAGATGCAGACTGTTTATTTTCACACAGTACAATACTTTGGATGAATATGTTGTACATGCTAATATATTCCCAATATGATTACCAAAATGCAGGAAATTCGCGATTCAGTTCACCAGCAAAGACGCATCCTGTCTTTGTTTCAAGTATGATCAGGAACTAATTTGCAACCCATTTTCTGTGATGGAATTCCACGACATCAGTATGGGTTGTAGGCCTGAATGACAATGTTTCCATCCCATTTCAAGGAACGCAGGGAGCTCACGACACGTTTTCTTTTCTCAAAAGCATGGCTTGAAATTGAACGTGGATCAAACAAAAGCCGAATGAGATAGCAACATGCGGTGATGATATGGTTATGGTATTGCAAAGCTCAGAGCACAACACATCTTGCTAAATCAAGTCTGTGTGTAGATCATTTTTCTGAAATTCGAACGATTTCCTATGAGCGTTTACTGAGTCCAAAGTTTAGAATAAATAGCGCTTCCCTGTAGACTTTCCCTGGTGACCTTGGGTCTGATGTGCCGAGTAAGACGTGTTGTCACGCCCAGTAAATGCTTTCTATTTTGATGTAGCAAGTCATATATATACTGCTCTTTAAGAATCATACACCCTTTCGTTTGGAGAAAAGTCCTTTGTGTCGTACCTGAGCTTTCTGCGCTGGTAGACATGGGATGGGGACACGAGTAGGGATTTTGAGATATTAATCAAGCTTATGATAATTGGAAACATGCTTTGTTTAACTAACTTTAATTTGTCTAGTTAAATGCTATTTTCATGAAACTAAATATATACCTGGTGATTGTCCCCTTTGTAATGCGTTCCGGTGTATGAAACATAAATGCAGTAGATTTACTTACTTTTAACTGTTTTATTTTGTTACAAGTGTTTAATAGTTTCCTGGTCATTAAAGTCTCATTTGCACCCCTTTAAAATATAATTAAAATTTCCGCATCATGAATTTTGTTTTTACTGGAACGAGCTTAAAATATTGTTTTCTAATGTGACTCAAAATGTGACATTACATTGATTTATGAAGCAGTAGTTACTGCATGCTTATACCAATCTTAAGTGTGAATTTGAATTGCTTTGAAATGACGACATTTACAAAAAAGGATAGGAAAGATAATGTTATTCATAAATGTTACCGGGTATCACATGTACTACATCAACTAGAATACCTGACTTATACTCTCACCTTTAACTTAAAATATACCCGGACCATGTGACATATTACTTGCATTATTCTATACCAAGTGTATTGCTTGCGTATGTTGTGGTAAGGAGACAAACACATCATGACAATTTATATATGTGTCCAGCTAATTAAGGTTTAAAACGACATAACAATTTATGTCCACCTTTGAGGGAACACTGATATGCTCACTCGGGAGTGCAGTTTTAAACACATCTAAAAGTTTTGTCAACGTCATGGCTTAAACTAGCAGCTCAACACATGTTAAGCTGAGTGAAAATTCGTCTTGCATCTTGATTTGTTTGTTGAATATTCGAATCCTGATTCAAAACTCGCGAATATAAGAAAATATGATTGTTATATATATCATATACATTTAAATTCAAATATGGCGTTGAGGCTTCGCTCTTCATTTAAGGGACAGTACTGTTATGATTCAGATCTAACATTGAAAGACCTGTTCACTGCATTTTAAGTTTATTGTTAGACATAGCATCATGGGTGCCACGTGTGCAACAAAATATACTAGCATTTACTTCCGGGTTAGTGCAGGTTTATGTAGTTCTTCCTGTTGTTTTAGTGTCTGCTTGTTAACTGTTGTTTTGGTTCCATTTTGATTTACATTGTGTTAGATTTTGTAAGCTGATGTAGTGGTTTTTATACCCGTCGCGTGCAGATGTTGTGGAAGCATTCATATGAGGACGTTGCAGTGTGTTTAAACCTTATGTAATGATGTTGTAGTATACTTTGCTATTTGTTTTGAAGTCGTGGTAGATTTTGTCTTTGTGTATTAACGTTGTAGTATACATCGTCATTTGTTTTGAAGTCGTGGTTAACTTTGCCTCGTTTATTGACATTATAGCATATATTGTCATTTGTTTTGACGTCGTTGTAGATTTTGTCCTTATGTATCAACGTTGTAGTATATATTGCCATTTGTTTTGACGTCGTGGTAAAGTTTGCCTCGTTTATTGGCATGATAGCATATATTGTCGTTTGCTTTGACGTGTTGGTAAATTTTTCCTCTTGTGTTGACGTATACTGTGTTTTATCTTTGCGTTGATGCTGTATTAGAGGCTGTCCTGGTATGAAGACGTTGAGGCGTATTTACCCTTTGTGATTACATGTACGTTGTGGCAGGCTTTTATCTTCACTTGTCGACCTTTTTGTAGTTTGTCCTTCGTTTGGTAATCGGCCCAGACGTTTCGGGAGTTGTATCAGGTCACAGAACACATCGACACACATCGTCATGGTTACGTGGCAAGACGTGAAAGGAAGATTTTAAGTATAATGTTATCGTCATATGTCTTTATCATGTTGAATAAATTTACATGTTAATAACATATAATGTCCATTGTATTGGTTCTTCATACAAGGTCATCTTCACGCTGTACAAGGGTCCGTTTCACGCGAGTAAACATATATCACATTAATGTGATAAAAAAAATATACGAAATTTAAAAGTAAATTTTTAGGTAAATATTTTTATCGTCCATACTAAGTACTGCTCAACATAACTTGTAAAGTCCATGAAGGGTACAGACCTATAATGATGCATTAATACGAATGAAAAACCATGAAAGTAAACCAGATGCTCTTTAATAATAACAAAAATATAATCTACATGTATTATATTGATATGGACAATGTGATCACACACGATCAGACATGATCAATTGTGCCATGATAAAGGAGGATAAAAGATGTACCCTGCATACGCTTACAGTCTGATGACCCGCCCTGACCCTATCTCCGCACAGCCACCCTCAAAGTTTCAGCATTAACCTCCTGTCAACCCCAACTCTCCGTCTCCCCTTCTATTATCCTTATCCATCCTACCTAATGTCACTAACTCGCCATAACAAGGCCTGAACTAGTACCCCTATTCAATAACTTCCCTCTGAATTCATCCATTCTTCCTGACCCCTGACCACCAGAGCCAAGCTTCAAACATCATAGAGTCCCAACAAATCGCATTCCCAGTCATTTACTTCCTCCGCCTCCACCCAATATACTTTTACATGCCTCCACCACCCACATTCATTTTTATACTTCTTTACCTAAACAGTCACCCATTCACTTCAACATTATCTATTTTATCTCCCTGGTCGTATAATCTATTGGAAGCCTACCCACACTCGTTTTAGACAGTCCACTTCTGTTTCGCGTACCGAATATATAAACGATAAAAGAAGGATGAATTTCATAGAAAGTTTATAAATAAAACTTGAAAATAAAAATGAAATATAGCTTTACGAGATATTTGCCAGGTGGGAAGCATACCTGATGGTATACGGATACAGGTAAACTTGTTCTGAATGCATTCCTGTACACCAGGATATCATGGGGGAGTCCCACCCCTGCTAGTATGATGTCTAGCCTGTAAAACCGGTCGAGTGAATGACATTCTTGTACAGGTGGAAGCGCTCGGATACGTA